AAACGAGACCCAAAACTCGAGCACTTTCAAACAGTTGACTATTCTTTTTCAGGAGAATAAAGGGTTATGTTTAATGAGTATAATGAAATATATAGGCACGGATGTCGACGTCACGTAAACCTGATTTTCTATATGAGTTGGCCTTGAGAACTAGCCAATCATAACCTAGAGTTGTTTGTGGGAAAGAGGTGTGTACATAAAAGACTTAAGTGGGACGATAGTAATAAGAATTGTTAAATAATTTCTATAAAGATAAAATAACAGCAAAAGGCGGTGGAAAATAGAAAAAATAATAATGTGATGCAATATATAGGAAATCATAACAATATAGAGAAATTTAAGCAAGAATAATACTAATAATGTAAAGTAAGTTTAATTATGAATTTAGTTTTGAAAACCTTTTCAGAGACTTGAGAAGATCAACAATCCCTGGATCGAGATTAATACCATTTGGCGTTATAGTATTTAACAGTGTTATCCAGTAAGCTTCTTTAATTTCCCTGTTTCTGTTAAATGTAAAATTTATCTCTATACCCGTCAGTTTAATGTCTTCAAGAGAGTGTCCAGACATGTTAAAGTGTTTTGTGACTAGAAGTTCTTTGTTTGTTTTGATTGTTGATTTGTGGTTATTAAAACGTTCCTAAATATTGGAAGTTACATTTTCGACATTGAATTAAGTAAATAGTATTTTTTATAGAATAGGTTTGGGTTGAGTGATTTTGAACTGCTTTTGGTTGTCTTTAATGGAAAATTTGTCCATTTCCTGCATGAACTTACAGGTTTGGCATCATTTGCTATTGCAAGGATGAGTTCCACCTGGTGTTGACTTAAAGTTTACTTTAGCATTAACTAAATGTGAATGCAAAGTTTTATTTCTTCTGAAAGAAATGACAGGAACTTCCATAAAAATGGATTTTGGTCGAACATTAAGTTGAAGGAGGTAAAAGTATTTCTTTAGTATCCAGAGTAGGTTTTTTAGTTTTTGGTGATAGGTAATAACCAGTGAAACATGAGAAGAATTGGTTTTAGGTAATTGTTTCAAGGCAGATTCACTTGGTATATTGTTAGCTTTGTCAAGATGTTGGGTGATAGTGTTTTGTTTATAATCTCTTTCAGTCATAGTCTGTTTCAAAGAATTAATGTGATGGTCATAGTCAGAGCATATCTTCTTTAATCTAAGTGATTGACTGAATGTGATATTGCATTTGGTGTGTGGAGGGTGACAGCTTTGATTATGTAAATATTGTGGTTTATCCGTTGGTTTTCGGTACAAGTCGGTATGTAGAACACCATCTTTTAATGTTAGATTTACATCCAAGAAACTTATTTGGGTAGTAGAGTACTCTAGAGTAAATGTAATAGAACTGTGGAAGGTGTTAGCATGTCTATAAAAATACAGTAATGAATCTTCTTCTCATACCAAAATGAAAAAAATGTCATCAATGTAACGTCTCCAAAATGTTGGTTTGTCTGTGCAACTTTTCAACAGTTTTGTCTCTCAGTCTGCCATAAAAATGTTGGCATAGTTTGGGGCCATCTTGGTGCCCATAGCTGTGCCTTTTGTTTGAATATAGAATTCATTATTAAATTGGGTCTCGTTTGAAAACATCATAATATTATTATTTGAGTTACTGTGTTGTGAACTAAATACAACAAAAATCCCATAAATATTATATACACATTAACATTATAAGAAGCCTAACTGTATTTCTTTGGTTTGCTGACCCAAACTGTGCTGATTGGCCTTGAATAGCCGAATCTGCAGTCCATAACAGAGGGTACGACGAATCAAGAAATGCATTAGGCCTCTGTAACATATATATATAAAGTTCTACAATGGGTTAGTCTAAAATATTTATTCATATATGCAACAAAATCTTTTACCCTATTAAACATAGCTATTCAACCACATATACACAAGAAAGTAGTAGGATACATTAAATGAAAGGAGTTATGTACAACATTTTGTAGCTGTATACACACAACAAAACCTCTAGGCTAAATAGTTATGTAGACTGAATCGATCTAAATGTTTTTAACTATTTAAGTGAGAAATTTCTGCTGACTAACATGGTTATGTAGCAAGGGTTGATTCCCTGTAACTTCTGTTGGGCAAACTGGACCCGTTGCTTGGGATACCACTGTGTATCATGATCCGCATCTAAGTAACAGAATTATTACAGACATTTAAAATCAACAAATGAAAAGTATATATGTACCACATTTGTTTATCAACTTAAATTTTTTAAAAATGAAAACAATTCACTCAACGAGTACCTTAAAAATAATTATACTAAAGAAACAAGATGCACAGCTACAACCTAATTTGGGAATGTTATTTTTATCTATTAAATATTCCACCCATTTCTTGATTAAGTTAAATACAATGTCTTCCATTACATATAAAATATAATAACAAAAAAAAGTAGAAAAGTTGAGTACACCTGAAGTATAGCATGTAAAATTGTAAAGAAGACAGAATACTCAATGGTTCATGGGAGCAGCTGCTTAATGGTGAAGATAACTCATCAGGTTTTTGTTTTTTGTATGGAGGATAACTGGTTAGTTTTTGCGTTAAAGAATTATGTTTGTTTAAAAAAATTGAAATCAGTTATAGAGATTTCACATTTTAACATAGTTGTCATGAAATACTGTGACACACTTTTCGAAACTAAAAATGTTTTAAACATTCCTTTATATAATCTATGCAAAATTTTACCTATTTATCAATCATTTAACTTGACCAAAGCAACAAAACTTTACAAACTTATCCATCAAAATAAATCTAAACAGCAAACTGGTATTCACTTGTTAACAAATACAAACAAGTTTTGAAATAGATAACTGCAAATCTATAATTACTTTTGCAACAAAAGTCTATGGAATTGCTAAGACTAACAAAAATAATGACCAATAGTAAACTAGGTGTAGAGCAGGAAATCATGGATTTCATTCTAAAATTTTTATTTTGCCATGGACCACAACCAGCTTTTGTTACACTAAATCGTAGACTTTCTAGTAGTATAACAGCCGATATCTCACAGACCCCCGAAACTGGCCTGTGAACCTCTAGTGAGATCCACAGAACCCGTGACTTTATATACCTTAAGACTGAGATACACAAAAGTATTACCAACAACTCTACTTAGAAATTGATTGTCTAACACATGATTGGTAACAAGGTAATTGCAACCAATAACATTGAACAAATGAAAAAAAAAGTATTCATTTTAAACTTTTAATATATATACCAACTATATAAAACTTACCTTCACTTGCCTTTCCCTCATTTCTTTGTTTTTGAGCCCAATTCTAAAAGACAAGAAAAGGGGTATAAATAAAGTACTGAAAGAATTTATTTTATTATTAACCAACTGATAAAATATTTGCAAAGTTAGCTGGTGTAGGTCAAAGGAAAAATAACAGTAATACAAAATTATTATTACTATTCATTTTCTATCAATGAATAACTCTCATGTATTTCTTCTAGAAACAGGAAATGGACTATGAAGGCCTGATATTTAATACAATTAAATGGAATGAAAACACAACTGCTACTTGTTTGAGATAAAAAAAAACACATTTAGAGCATTTGTGGCATGTTAGCCACCTTTGTAACTTTTTTTAATAAATTCTTTATTGGGTTATTACTAATTACTAATACAAAAATAAAATTAATTGAAAATTACCTCCCACTTTAGGTCTCAGTATAACTACATACAAATATAGGTATTTCATACATAAAAAAAAATGATAAACTTAATATAGTTAGACTTGCCTTTTAAATAAATACTTAACAATAGATACTGTTTAAATTGAATTGGTAATTATTTATAAAAATAAAGATGCTTTTTTGTAATAAATTATTATAGGATTTTAGATTACACTCTTTACTATTCTTATAATATATTTAAGTTAGGCTTAGTTATTTTTTTCTATTGACTGTTATTTACAATAATTATTTATGCACTTATCTCCAATTATTTATCCACCTCTTGTTTTTAATTCAAATCAATTAGACTGTTTTTTAATTGTTTTGGTTTATTAACTGTACGTATTTGTTCTGGAAGTGTATTAAAACGTTTCACACCCCCAAAATGCCAATGTCTAAGCCCTTCTGTTGTTCTTCTCCTAGGCAACTCATACACACCCTTTATTACTCCCTGTGCAGCAATAAGTAGAATCTATGAACTTTACTTGCACCAGCAAGGTACTAGTACTGTGGTAAATTTTCTGGCAAGTCTTCAAAAAGTAAGGCTGCCTTTTTGGTTTAAAAAATAATTGAAATTAACAGCTTCTTTAACCCTAGAATTACAAATGAGGTTTGCACGGACTCCCTTCTTTTTAAACACCTTCTTCTAAATTATTTATGTACTAAAATGATTGTAAGTCCATGGTTTTATCTGGTAAAAGGTCCCTAATAAGATATGAGTCACAAAAAACAAACGGACACAAGTAGTGAAATGAATCCCACTAATTATTGTTGGGTTTGGTTTCCTATGTTGTTGTTTCATCTATGGAAATGTAGTTATTTTATCTGATACTTTTGGCCAGTTCTTTGCCACGAGTTTTGTAACAGTTAAAAACATACGGTTACCCAACATAATCCAATCTGGGGACTACACCAATAGAGAACATATATATAAACAAGTTGGTTATTTCTGAATTAACAGAAAGCTATGCAGTTCTTAAATGTTAAGCAGCTGAATTTTTAATCCACCTACACTAACTTATCAAAACTGCTAAGCAAATTTTGTTCACATCAAAACATTATTTTCACTCAAAATATTATCTAATAAGCTGTGTTTTTCCAAAGTAAATGAGTTATTTTTTATCTAACATTTTTAGCCAGCTCTTTGTATTGTAAGATGCAAAAACATAAGATTACTTAGTATGATACAAAATGTGAACCTTGCCAACAATTGGTAATTTGAGGGTTAACCACATCGAGTACAGTGTAGCGTATTGTAAAATGACACCTGATTAATTTTGACAGCAAAGAAAGTAATGGAATGATTTTAATACTCCTATGCCCCTAGAGCATTTTCATTTCAGCTCACAACTAAACAAGATGATAAATTAGTGAATACAACCTCTATCTAACACTTTTTTATTCACACAGTGTCCTTGTTGAAAAGTTTGATCTCCCAAGTCATCACAAATTTTTCTTTACAGTTAGAATCAAATCCTTTAACAAAATAAATATTATGGCTTTGACCTCCGTCTGACATTTAAAACTTGAGCTTTGGGATCATTTTGATATATACAACTCAAGGAGAATCACTAATAACCAAGTTTGTCACTAATACAATGGCTTCTTTCCTTCTTTCAACCTTTCTGCACAATTAGGGGCTCAAAACTTGCTACTTTATCAAATTTAGTAACGAAGAAGACATGCATGACTTTCTCTTCCAAGTTACCATGATCATTCATCACTGATATTTAAAAAAACCTAAGATCCAAGATTTTTGCCAAATTTTACTACATTTTTAAAAGCAATTGTTATGAGATCTCAGTTTCATCCATAAATAGAACTTAATGGCCAATCTTTCACCCAGGGTGCTCAAATGCATAAAAGTTGACACACACACAAAAAAGATTTAAATGTCCTTACTTTCCAATCCAGGGTTGGTTCCTTAATGAATACGTCCATGAAATTCAGAAGCAAGTCATGATTCTTTCGCAAGGCATTCAAGGTATGGATCATGGTGGCCTCGTACAGTCCTTTTTCTTTCAGAGGCAGCATCAGATTTAGGTACTGAGGTGTCAGTCGGAATGGTATCAGTTCTGGCACAGGTAAAAACTAGTAATAACAATCATCATTAATATTTGTTTCAGAAAAATTCAAATATAGCAGGTTCTAAGTTAGAGAATTTTAAGAACTTCAAACATAGTAAAATACAGAATCACATCATAATGTGTACTGTTTTTATCATCCACAGTGAACTTATTTCCTTCTTACATACAGTTGCTGAAAGTTACATAAGTAGAAGTATTATTAAAACTGTTTTACACGTATTTATATGCTCTTCAAACGGAACAAGTTAATTTTAGACAGTGAAATATGAAAATCTCTTTGTGTTATACAGACTGGTAAAGAATCTTCATTAATAATGTTAAGAGAATCGCTGTCATTTGGAAAACATCCACGATGAAAGATGAATATGGATCCTTTAAGTGGCTGTTCAGTAAGTTTAGGAATTTAAGAGTTAAAGTACAAAACAACATAATAATATACCAACCACATCATAGATTGACAAAATATTCTAACGTTGCAGTGCTGTTTTAGTTTAACATGATGCATGTTTTATCAATAAGAAATTATATAAAAAATAAAAACACCATCTTATAACTTTAATAACCCAATTGAAATTGTAGAGAACAGAAAATATCCTCCATGTTTCAGCAGTACGTGAATTTATAGGAAAAAAACAAAGATACTTGATAATACCCTATAAGCTTTAACATCTGGCTGAAATTGTAAAGACTGAAAAATGCCCTGAAACCATATATAAAAAAGATATCTATTTTACTTTTAAATATATTTATTTTAGAAAACACAGTCTGGCTTATAGCTATTGCCAGCTATAGATATATATATATGAAAACTGTAGCAATAATTATAAATTTGTCCTATCTTTATTATTACCTGAGTTGCTGACCCAAAAGCATGGCCAAAATCAATGCCTAGTTCTTTACCAGTGTCTGTCTTGATCAGAAAATTACCAAGGTGACGATCCCCAATCCCCAAAAGCCATTGAGATATTGAAAGTACAGCATGAGATATTACAAACTGAGATCTCAAAGTTAAGAAGGCTTCAGGGCAGGAACTAAGCTTCACAAAACCACGCCTGAAATATGAATAGTAATAAGGTGTAGTTTT